TAGAATACTAGATGTATGGATTAATAATAGGTTAATGGATTACCATTTGAATAGGTTTTAATATTGGTCTTTACCGGAGGGGGGTCTATTGGGCTTAATATTTTAGAATGATCAAAAGTTTTCAAGACGTTTTTTGGGAAGAGGGATTCAATGCTCTCACCTTTGAAAATAAATAGAGAGTGGAAGGTACATTTGACAAATTCGACACTGAATTTACAATACTATTTTAACATTTCTTATGATATGATGTTCTTTTTGTGTCAGGGTCACCACAATAGCATGGGACAGCAATTACAGCAGACTTGAAGGATGTTTATTTGTTTGGATCCARAGGTTAAAACAAGGAGAAAATCCCACAGAAGAGAAGCATCAAGCATTCACCCCAACATTTACACTAACTACCACTAAAAGGTAAGAGGCAGTACATGAACAGTTTGCATCCACCCACCCCTCCCATCAACAGTGAACGGTACTTTACATTCATATAAAGAAATGGTTCCCCTTCGGTGTCTTGTGTCATTACCGACATCTTACTCTATTGGTGTTTGTGTGTGTGTGTGGGGGGGGGGTCAACTGTGCTTACATATTTAAATAATACTGTTTGTCTTATCTAAATTGTGTACCCTAGTCAATCGTAAATCAGGTTCACAAGTAGGGAGGGTGACCCTGGTTTTGATGAGGCAAGTATTTTGCTTGCCTTCAGAGGGAACAACATAAAACGTGTCTCTGCAAAAAAACCTAGCAGTAGAGACTCCCTTTTAAGGGTGATCTTTCCTTCCTACCAGCCACGATTACTATGGGAATAATTAATCCTTTAAGAGATTTTCCCGATGTTTTACGCTCGTACATAAAACCAATTTGTGAAATGGATCGCGGTTTTCTGATATGTGATAACGTTATCACTACGTAATGTATGGCATCATATTTTATTTCAAAAAAAAATTTTGACTTATAAAACGTGTCGGTTTAACACAAAAATAAACTAAATCATAGCCGAGATGAATAAGCCTTTTCATAGTTTAAGAATCGATTCCACTGCGCATGCGATTTTATCCCAAAATTCTCACCTTCTTTTGTCTAAACCTTCTTTTGTTCTCATTAAACAAAAGAAGGGGAGAAATTCGGGATAAAATCGCATGCGCAGTGGAATCGATTCTTAAACTATGAAAAGGCTTATTGGAACAAAGTTAAGCGTTATCTTTGAAAACGGTAAAAATCGCTTAACGTCGAGTAAAAGGCTATGGCTTTGTTCCTATTTATCTCAGCTATTATTTTGCTCATTTTTTGGATCAAAATTTTGGTTTCAATTTTTTATGAAATATGACGTCATAAATTAGGTGTATGCGTCATCACAGAACAGTCATCGATCCATTTTACAAATTGATTTTATGTTTGAGCTAAAACATAAGAAAAGGCTCTTAGAGATTTTAATATTTTTCTTATAGTAACCGTGACTGGTAAATAGGTAAGACCCCCTTAAACGTCATGTAAACATGTCCTAATACCAACTGCTCTGTTCAACGAAGATCATAAGATATGTGTATTCCTGATAAAAAGTGTTAATCCGTTGTTGCACTTAATCTCTGCAGGTATTCGGCATGATGGATGGCTGAAGCAACCACGAAAGAAATCAAGTAAAGAGAAGAAAAGTGTGAATAGAGCCGAGCCGAAAAAGACGGAGAATCGAGACTCGAAAAAGTGTTATTGAATTACTTACTGAAAGTTAAGAAAGCGTATAGAAAAATAATATAAATAGATCAAATAAAAGATAGACCAATAGAAAGAAGAGGAGTATGATTAGAATGGATAGGTAAAGAAATAGAAGTAATATAGAAAAAGAAATGAAAAGAAAAAGTAAAGAAAATGTGACAAACAAGACACGG